AATATTTTACAACTAATTAAATAAAAATTAATTCCTACATTTAATAGAAATGATAGAAATACAATACATATGCATTTCCAGGCAATTGAATATTTAGAGTATTGTCATTGTTAGAGATATGTAGGTATGTACATTTTAGATAGAATTTTTAAAATATTCCGCAGTATTCTTCATCGTAGAAAATTGTGAAATTCACCTAAAGGATACTCATACTGTAATGTTTTAAATTTAACTTCCGCGGGGGTGCTTACGAGAAAAGGCTAGGTAGAAGTTGTAAAATTTCATGACACACCGACTAGCTGGTAGAATCATCGAATTGCACGTAGAATTTCGACGTCCACCTGGCTAGGTTTAAATTTTATGATTTCTAAATTGAGCAGTGTGTTATCTTTAATATTGAGTCACCACATACAAAATGAAGATTCCTTCTGGTTCTTTTATTTTTTAAAATTAAGATAAACAAACCTTTTTTTGTCTAATTATAAATTATAAATATATAATATATAGATAATGAAAGAGAACATATTTTAAATTTAAAAAAGTTTCCTTTATTTCAATTTTTAAAAATAAAAATATAAGAAAACCATATTATTTATAGGACGATCCAATATATGTATATACAAAATGTTTCAATAATACAAAATGAAATTATCAAATAAAAAATTTTATTTCTAGGATAATCAACTTCAAAATTAATTTAGTACCTACGCATTTATATGTATAAACAATTGGTAAGTTACAGACAAACATAGTTGATTAATATTGAAAAATGATTAATTATTTGGAAGATAAAGTGTCACATAAAAAAAGATTAGTCTAGTCTATCATATTTATTTACTTCTTTATATAGAATAATTTTTTTCCAATTGTGCTGCGCTTTCGAAAACACGCTACAAGATGAAAAATGTTTAAACCTGGAGAGTTTAAGCATAGTCACAAAGCACAGCCGAGTCTCTTTTGCACTGACAAAGAAATGTTATAGTGAATGGACCATCGAATTTGGTTCAGAGAAAATATAAGTCGACCCCCATTCGATCATTGTGGGCAAAACTCGATATTTAGAAAGATATTTAATATTAAATTTTTCGGGACATACTTAAATATTTTACTACTGCATCAAGAGAGTAAATCCGTGTGAGATCAATATTTCTTTGCCTTCTCTTTTAATATACATATATTTTTTACTAGTTTTAAAATGTTTTGCTATGTTAAATTAATTTTTTCTTTTTTTTATTTTTCTATTTTATTGTAATTTAGTCTTTTCCACTTCTATTATTATTTACAATTGTTTAAAATTGTTTAGTATTATTTATTATTATTTACAACATTTAGGATGATACATTTCGTAAAAGCATGGAAAAGTATTTCTCGAAATCAAAAAAATTAAATGTTAAATGTTTTTATAATTATCGAGTTTTAACCAAAATGCCTGAATACGGGTCGGCTTATTTTTGCTCTAAATTAAACAAAGTTTCATTAAAATCGATGATCCACTTACTGTAACGTCTCCTTGTAAGTATCCATCAAAAATTCCTCAAGCACACAACAGACAGTTCTACACTGAATAATTTATATTAACTCTTGACTAATAAAATTTGCTACATATTTGAACACCAAACGCATACACAAAACTATATTCTACAACGTTTTGCTGCAGTTAATAGCCATCGAACTGTCAAACAAGACAACTTTTCGAAGATAAGAGAAGCACAGGCGATCAACGTGACGGTTTCCCGAGTAGATCTATTTTCTCCCCATATTTACAAAAGCATCGATTAGAATAACGTCTTAGAAACACAAACTGTCACGCCGCATTGATGGTAAGCCGTGGCACATGCACCTCCGATAGCTTGTGATCATGCGTGCGATGATCCAAGACTGACAGAACAAAAAACTGAGTAGTCAACTTTACGAAATATTCACATCACATCGCAATTTATCTCCGTATAATTATGATAACTTGTCCTACATTGACTGATTAATTAAATCACAGAAAAAAATTATTTTTATTCTTCTTTTACGACGAAGTTCCAACAATTGTTGCTGAGATTCAGTATATAATTTTGAATTTAACTTTTATTTTATTTACTAACACTACAGATATCGATATATAGGGTGAACCAAATACGAACTATTTTCAGTATTAATTTAGGTTCCATTTCTAACCTCATAACAGATATGGATTTCATTTTATTTAGTTAAATGAAACAAGGAGTTTGATCATTTGAAATTTTTCTGAAATTATTATTACAAGATCGAAGAAGATCTTTCTCATTTCTGTTTAACGAAGTGGACTATGAATTTTTCTTTAAAGAATAAACAAGTTACAAGTCAATATTAGCCGAATTAATGAAACCTATCAGAATAAGAAATAATAGCATTTCATTAATAAAAGACATAAGGATGCTTTTGTTCTTTTAGAAATCACAACAGAAATTTGTATCGTATCTTAAATTATTCCCTTTAATACATTGACTGCCAAACAAACACTCGCCAAAACTCTATGTTAATATAAATACAGTTGAAGTAGTTTCCTTAAAGAAACAGAAACTTAAAAGTCGCGATTCTTTACAGCGTTTGTTCCATTGTCCTTCTCGTATCTCATCCAACAAAGTTTGGTTCGTTTCATACATCAACAAGAAAATATATTATGACACTAAAACTACCAGACAGGTCAAACTGATCCATCTCTGACTTCTACTCTTTTAGAATTATGAAAAAGATAACAGATGTTTCTTTGAGAAATCATTAAAGAAATGTATTTAGCAATACACAAACTGAATTGTAAACCAATTAAACTCTCAATAGATGCACTGTTGGAGATGTGATATGGATTTCAATGAAGAAATTTCAAAAAGATCATATATTATAACAGCTCGGTAATTTTAGTATTAAGGTTATGTGAGAATGGGTGTCACCAGAATTCAGATGAGGTGGCAGTAAAAATGTCATATTTATGAAACGAAGTCGATATATGTTGTTGTTTCAGAAAAACATTTTATAACAATTTATTTGGTTCACCTTCTAAAATTCATTTGATGTCCGTTAAGCTGTTGTTATTTTATTTATCGTTGAACATTTTTGCAAGTGGAGCGCATGCTACCTGGTGAAGTGAAACCTGCACATATCAATAGCGAAAAGCCGTGACAGCTATAAAATTTCCTGTAAATTCTGAATTCGTCACGTGTACTTTTCCTGTATGCAGAATTTCAATTCAGCTGTTTCAAGGAGCAGCAAACACGGGCTCGCGAATCGATAATTAAATTTCGTGCGCCGATATGTCAAGTGCCTAACGTTGATGAAATAAAGGAGGCGGTTTAATGCTCAACGTGCAACGAAAGCCTCAGTCTAAAGCAGATCCCTTCCCCTAATCATGCTTCGAGACAAAGAGGTGGTACTTCTTTCATCATTTCGTATTTTGTTTTTATAGAAATGTAAACGTGAAATTTGTAGGTCGCGAAATGAATGAAATGAATAATCAGTAAATGTTTGTTTCAGAATTATACGTAAACTATTGTAATAAATGGTTAATGTTGATTATGGAAGAAAGTTATTAACACTAGAATTACCGAACAAGTAAAAATAGTAGATTTTCTTTCGCCTTTATTGAAAAATTGTGTAATTCATGGTATAAATTATAAATTGAATTATACGATATACAATATATTATATGTTAGAAATATTCAAAATTATTTACATATAATATACTATTTACATTTTCCAGAAATACATTATACACTATAAAAAATGGGGAGCGTCATTTATATTTGTATATAGTCATAGACAAAAAATATTTAATTTCATCAGAATCGATATTTTCATTACTAGTTTTAAACTACACTTTTATACAGATATAAAAAATGCATCTGCTGAAAGTTAAAATAATATTCATATTATTATCATGTTACATATTAAAAATTATGAATTTCACACAATTATTACTGAAGATAGTTTATAAATCTGAATAAATAATTATAAAATCAAGAATCTAAAATGGGCCATCTTAAATCGAATTTTAAAAAAATTGGAAATTGCATGACAACAGTATCAATCGAATTTCAAATTCTACCATTTTCACATTTTGCTATCGCATCGAAAAAGCCTCGAACAGAATCAGAAACTCGACACTGGGCAGCTATTGAATCGAAACTGCCGGAAGGTCGAAAAAGCAGAAGCAGAGAACCAAAAAACAAAAATCATGGGAATGCAGACACCACGCCGATGCCGTTAGTATCTAACGTAAACGGCAACGATCGAAATTGAAAATTCGTCAATGCTTGGCTTCAAAGTTTACATTAAACACCGCCCACCAATCACAGTTCTTGTTCCTGTCAGTGTTTCATCGTAGTTTTAACAACGAACCGTGTAATTTGGAAATTGAATCGCGATAAACAAATTACGTCGCACGCAGATAACCTGTCGAGATTATTGTTGTTAGCGCGAAACGCGATGATACGCTGGAATTAGCAACCGGATGCTGGAAGTTTGCTCTCGCGGTGAAACGGACCACGATCGAAATTCGTCAGGAAGCTCCTTCGCGTGTACACATGCGTGTATTTCAGTAAAACTGATTAATTCTTTTTGCTCCCGAACGTTACTCACAAAGAAAAGTATCGAACCCAGAAATTCAAGAAATGATGAAACTTTGTCTGCAAGTAAAGTAAGTCAAACCTAATACATTCCAATTTTTTTCGTTCCGAACTTCAGAAGCGTGGAACCACCTCTTCAAAATAATGCAAATTTTCCTTTCCGTGGATTATCTTGAAAACGGCAAGAGATAGGAAGAAAAAGTTTCAACAAAAAATACATTGTTCTTTCACGCCAATGAAACAATGTATTTTTCGTTTAAACTTTTTTCGCTATCTCTTACTGTTCTAAAGATCACCCATGGGTAAGAAAAATGTGTATTTTTTTGAAGGAGTGGTTTCACTCATTCAAAGTGAAGTTCGACATGAAAACAAAATTGCAATGTATTAGGATTGACTTACTATATTTATACACAAAGTTTCATAATTTTTTTAATTTCTAGGTTCGATATCTTTTCTTGTGAATTATTTCACTGTTCAACCATTTTTTGTCGATCCCGTATTTACCTTTATATAGATGCTTTATGCGCTCTGCACTTGTATCGATTGCCATTACCATACCAATTCTTATTTGTGACTAAAGATTTTTCTAAGTTTCAGTATAAATATTTTGAAAACCATATGTAGCATAAGAAGATAGCAATCCAATGTTATGATTTATGATATATCTGAATTGAAAGCGTCTTAAACAATGCAATTCAAAACTTTCATGTTTTAGATACTCCGCATTTTTCTTTCTTCCTCTTTCTAAAATTGCCTGTGAAAATGAATTACAGAAAATTTTTGAAAATGTCCCTTTGCTTGCATTACCTAACCCTTTGACAGTTGAACTATCACGTAAATCAAGCATTTATTAATTCTGCTTTCACAACTACTAAAACAACAAAGGTATTTTTATGAAAATTTACTAATTAAATTAATTTCTTAATGCGTCCATTACAACTGGAAATCTCAATAAAATCATAATTTTGATCAATTATTAAAAATCTGTTACACGTAGTGCCATATAATTTTAAATATTCAAATATTCCATAGAACGTTCTACGCAGATTTAAAGACTACAGAAAATGAAATTAAGATGAACAGAAGACACTTTCTCCGGCTACATCATCCATGCGACCTTTTACGCTGATGACACATAAAAAAATGCAACGAGTAAAGTACTTTCCGCGCAGTTCGTTGAAAAGTTTTACATAAAGACCATGCCTGATCTCGTGCCTCATTGAAAGGGTTAGCTTTTCCAACACTGGTGTAGTTAAGTCGCATTATAATTAATTTCTTTTCCATTACGGTCAATTTAAAATCGGCTCTAGTTTTACCTGTTGGTTCACTTTAATCTTAAGAATATAACAGGCCATATTTTACCCACATGCATACGTATTTTATTATTTCATCATTTACATAATTATTTTACTTATCTTTCAAATGTATATATCTGAAAAAACACCTATAACTGTAACCTTTACCAATTACCTTCGATTTAACTCATTCAACAGATTTCATTAAAAATTGTATTTCATAAAAGCAAGAAAGATATTTAATGAATTGCAAACATCCTCGGTTCAAGATTTACTAAATAATAAAATAAAAACTAAACAAAATGAATGACATTGTTAAGGGAATAGTTGCGAGATCTCCTTATTCGATTGGCTACGTGTTAACAATTGCTATACTTGAATTTACATTTATTGCACAATGGAATTCTCGAAAACATGGGTCTAAATAAAATAAAACGACCTTTATTGCGCGAGCACACTGCACGAATAAGTTTGCGACAAATAGCTATAATAAGGTGAATGAAGAAAGAGGTTGTTCGAGAGTGTCCTCCGAGAGGAAATTTCAATCGTTAGAAATAACTTACCCGAAAGTCCGCCATATATCGAAACACATGACGTTCAGCCAACAAAAAGCGGCGAGGAGCGAGAACAGCATCGTGTATCCTGAAAGCAGGAATAGGAGATTCGTTTAAATCCCACGAAGCGTGTACTTTATCATGCGCTGCAGAGCAGAAAGGGAATAACAATCGTGAACGACTTCGTTTGTTTGCGAATAAATAAAAACTGGAAAAACAATTTGCTGATGGCATAACGTATTCATAAACAGAAGTGATTTTAGAAAAAGTGGGATATATGAATTTAAAATCACCACTGAATTTCAAATCAAAAGTTACATAGTTGCTTTGTATTGATCAATGTTAATAAGAAATTAAAGACAGATCGATAATTTGTAATTTACGACTTGTTACCGTTTGTGATAAAAAATGTTTCGATATACTTTATGAAACGTATGGTTACAATGATCAAATTATATTGGAAAAACAAAATTCTCAAAATTAATATTGAAACCTCAAATATAATTGAATATTTTAATGAGATACTGTAATTTTGATGTATTATATGTGATACGTATTTGAAATGTGACTAGCAAGTTTCAACGATGTCTTCGTTTCGCATAAAACAGTGGAATTCTGAAAATAACTCACGAAGATGATGCGTACATACGTAATTGTATGCAATTTCGAACGACGAGTTGGATACGTAGCGTGTTTATTGATAGAAAAAGCAACACTCGCTTGCTGTGCACAGTTTTGTTTAATTGTGTAAAGAAAATTGAAACAAACAATGAGACATTTATTTTTCATTGGTCGAAAGTATTTGTAATGCTGATTTATAATTAGAATTCAATTTATTATAACATAATAGCGAAAAAATAGTATTCTTTCGAATCTTTTAATAGACAAGATTAATAAAACGTTCGAATGCATACGTTTTCATTGAAGAAAATTATTTCCCATTGCCTTCCGAACAATTCTCAGTATATAATTATTAAATGTATTCAGATAGTCAAATCGAGATAAAAAGTTACATCATAAGTATGTATGCTGATTACATGATTTTGTTATCAGTTACGTATATTCTGTTACATCACATAATCACGTAATCGTTATATCATGTCGGAAATTAAAATATATTTCTAATATAATAATAATTTTCACAAGAAAACTAAATATTTGTTACACGAAAAGAAAAAATTCTTCGGAAAGAATCAAATAATTGTAAATAATATTAATTATTATTAATAATAACATATACATATAAAACGTTTTTATTTATTAATTGCTTATTTTAATAAAGATTATTTTATATACATATAAAACAATTTCGATATTTTCAAAAAGGTTAAAGTTAAATAATGAAGCAATAACATACCTATTGCAGCACAATATGCGGTTTCAGTAGGGTTTTCGGAAGCCCGGACCGGTGGTGTCACCCACGGTATTATGGCAAGACAAATATAAGACAACAGTAGACTCCCAGCATGACACATTAAAGTTTTTCCATGTAGGTTTTGAAGGGAAGGTAAATAAATGTATACTAGCAGCGTCAAAAGCAAAAAGACACAACTTACTCCTTCTAGAAGGCTATTGATTGTATATCTGAAAATAGGAAAAGTATTATTATATGAATTTTCGAATTGTTTATGAATAACTTGTATCTTTCTTATATCTCCGATACATTCTTTACCATAATTAAATTTTTTGGATTATAATTTAATAATTATCATGAAACTTATAAATTTCTGTTACAGGTAGATCTCGGTTAATACTAATTCAAATAATGTGATATTCGATTTAGTTCGAATCATAAAATGTTACCAGGGCACATTTAATGTGAACAAACATTCAGTTAATGCGAGGATTTAGTTCACTGGACCTCTTTCATCGAAACAACCTCTTGTAAAAGAATCGAAACATGCAAATTAACAGAGTCTTGGACAAAGTAATTGCTGCAGGTTTATCATCACACATACAAGGATATGGCGAGGCAAGATACAGGGCAATCGACACTATTAAAATATTTTGTACAATAATAAACATATTTACTTTGATTACAAATTAATAAAATACATATGGAAAGATACATTTAGAAATTGTTATTGCTTTCCTTTAACCAGAATTAATTCTTATATTTAAAGTATTTGAATAGTACAAATTCGAATACTGTAATCAATATCTGGATTCAGTATTCGCATTAATCAAGACTCACTGTAATAATTATCTATTATTCGTTTTGTAACCGCTTATTGCTGAATAATATTCTATATGATTTAGAAATAAAAATTTAATGATTGTTGTATTATTTAACATCTACTGTATATAGGTTAATATAATTAAAATTTTTTTATTATAGAAAATTATGATACATTCCGATGTATAATTATAACAAAAGTAGTATTCTGTTCTATTACTCAGAAAATAGACATATACAATGAAAATGGTAATAATTTTGAGAACGTGACCTCTTAGGCTATTCTTAGATTAGATTTAAACGTAACTCAAATTCAATGAGGACTCACGTAATTATTTATGCCAAACGATCGTGGATTTACCCATAATACTAACCCACTTCGTTGCTAATCTTTGCTCACAAATAGATCAAGATGTTCTAAATGTATCTTTGAAGAAATGATGTTTCCCGAAATCATTCGAACACATCAAAACGTAAAATGTTACAACCTCGAAGATAAAGTAAACTGTCGGAGCTAGCGATTTATTTTGAAAAACTTTATGCTTCAAGGAAAAAGTAAGATTGTTTCACTAGAAATTATCATTCACCTAACTTTTTCAATTAATCAAGTTTCAATTTAATTAACCTAATTATTCAAAATAAACATAAAAAAGTTACAAAAGCACAGATTAGAAATTACGCTGCGTACATTAACAAGTAAGAAGTTCAATGATCAAATTATATTTTGTAACACAGTGTTTTTTTGTCAAAAAATTGTTTACAGATTGACTCTAAATAAAACAGAAAGTATTATAATATTTGATTAGACGAGACCGTTTTTTGCTAATTAAGACATGTTTCTGCCATTATTCCACGCTTCTTCGATAAGTCTTGACGCTTGTTGTCGAAATTAGATGGCAAATATTTAAAGAATGAGCCACTGATAAAACGGATTATATTAAATTTCTCTGCAAACATTAAAATTTTGAAATTTACTTGCGGAAGGTGAATTTTATTTTTCTGCGCAGTTTAAAGCGAAAGTCGCTAAAAAGAGAATCATCATCTATAGGTGAATAGTATGAAAATAATTGGTATTATCAGTTGTAATCTATAAATTACAATACCTTATCGAATATTATCAAACATGCACATATGAAAAGAACATCAATTCTTGTTTAATACTTTTACAAAAATATTAATGTTTCATATATTTTGCATAGTAAAATCTATGATACAAAAAAAACGGAATCTGCTAAGTTTTGAGGTGTGGAACATAACAGACGCTAAAATGGTCACTACAAAATTTGTTAACACATTTCGTACCAGCTAAATTTCAAATAGTTTAATATCATTATATGTAAAAATAATTGAAATACCTCATCGTTACTTAATATACCTTAAACAAATAATCTGTTCTGAGAAAATTTAATACTTAATATTGTTTAATATTTTTTAAATGGTACAGTAATTAATAAAGTTACGTAGATAGATATGTAAGGAACCCTTAGATGTTAATCTTTAGTTTTTAGAAAACGACTAACACTAAAACTACTAGACGGGTCAAAATGACCCATTCCTGATTTCTTGTGTTTGCAATCATTAAAAAGATAACATCTGTTTTTCTAAGCAATTATTAAAGAAATTGATTTAGCAGTACACAAACTGAATTGTAAATGAATTAAAATCTCAATAAAAACAATCTTGGAGTTTCCATAGAGGAATTTCAAAAAGTCAATTTAACTGTTCGGTAATCTTAGTACTAAATAAACGTCGGTAGATGATATGTTAGGTTTTCGATTTCAAAATCTTCATCTAGTAGCTACTGCAATAATGCGTATTACATGTAAATTTGAGTACGTACAGAATCGCAATAAGGAAACTATGTATACAATAATTTCCAATTCTTGCTATTACGTGCTAATGAAACGGAGTCACGAAGTGTCAGTGATGTGGGAGTGACCGATAAACACTGGACTAATGAACCCATACATGCGTAATAGCAGATGAAACATGCATTACGCATGAGAACACTGTGCAGCGTGTGCGCAGTCTAAAAACCATTGAAATTTGATGTCTGTACATCAAACAATGTTTTTCACTATTTTCGGAATCAGTATATGACAAGAAATAGGTATATATCTACTTAAAAAAATCTATCTGAATAAATTAATAGGACAATGAATACAAATTTCTATTTACTAACACATTATATGAAAAATAAATACTACAGTGGCATATAATAAAATAGCAACTTTTATATTGTAAATCATTATCAATTCTTGTTTCTGTTCCATTTATAAACTTTACATTTATAAGCTTTAAATTTATAAACTTTCATAAAACAAAACATCATAATATCTCATAATAATTTCTTACAAAATAGAACGCCCCTTAAGTGAAATGTAATAACAAGTGTTAATAGATCATTAAATACTAATTTCCCTTTGTTAATACACTATATAACAACACGTAATAAAACAAAATCATTTTTATTGTAATTAGCTATAAATTGTATCATTTGCTTTTTCACTTAAGATTTATAAACTTTCATAAAGGTAATTTTATTTTATACTTGGTTGGAAACGTAAAATTATAAAGTCTCGAGTGAAGGTTCTTTAGAGTATAAAATGCTCCTTTAATTAGACAGTCACAGCGAATAGAAAAAAGAGTAGGTGAATGCATATAGTAGACGATTGTAGCACTTCGTTGTTCTCGTGCACTCATCAAACAAATGGACTTGTACCATTGATGTTTATCCCTCCGTTCGAAGATGCATGAACGTCCACAATGTCCACGTTCCCAGTAAACGATTTGGCTATCTGACAGTGATACAAGTACAATATCCATCATCGCGAAAAATGCTGAATTCTAGTTTGAATAGTTGCACAGCATCGAAGGCCTCTAAATCCTCCATACTGCTTATGAATACTGTTTGAAACCGGAGAGTTTCTTTTATTTTTAAAAATGAAGATAAACAAAACTGTTTGTAATCTAACATATATTCTTCTCCGTTATCTAGAAATAATTTGTCTTTACATTATAATTACTTTAAAACAAGATTTGTTTATTCTTAAAAATAAGAGAAACATAAAATACCGCATTATTGATGGCTAAAAAAGCCTAAAACCTTATTAATTTAGGTGATCAAGATTACAATCTGACAGTCTTGTAAAAAAGTCAACACTATAAAGCGAAACCCTCGAAATTTCGAAATGAGAATTCGAAATTTGTAATGCAATCAATTAAAAAATATTTGAGCTGTACCTGATACTTGACAATGCAAATAATAAACCCAATAATAAAGAAACTTATTTTAAATATAAAAAGTTAAAAGTAAATTAAGCGATTTAACAATAAAGTTCTTAAAATCTCAGAAAATTGGTTTAACCGATTCGGCCAATAAGCGGCTTCGTTAAGAAAAGGTAAAAATGAGACAGCAAGGTTCTCGATAAACACGATGAATTGAAAAACAAAAGCCAGAAAATAATTCCAAATAACTCAAATGCCAACGTTCACGTCATCGTCCACATTCTGTAGAGGCGAGGCCAACAAATGCGAAAGTTTTGGGTCGAGTTTCCATTGGATGTCTGGTATCTCAACTGGTTTTACTTGTTTAAACTTTGTAAAGCCAAACAAACGTTTTGAGGGGCAATAAATGGTGGTCATTCATCGACTTAAAAGTTTCAAGCGCGCGGATTGATGCTCGCCGAAGACGCGATAAGTCGACTGTTTTCGGATCGGTTACAATTTCATTTTTATTTTTCATGCGAAGAGCAAAGCCATATAATTTACTAATAAAATAAAAGAAAATTAGAACGAAATTAGAACTAGTATCAGAAATATTATAAAAAATATACTTTCTATCCTAAACTTTGACAGGTATTTTCACCTCTTCTAAGTGGATGTTGGTTGTTAAGAAAAAATACCTGTCAAATATTTTTTTGAGAACTATGTTTCGCATAAGTTTTATCAAATTTGGCGTGCGCTGGTTGAAAAGGTTCCCTTGTAAATATAGTAATGAAAACATTACACATCCACACACTATCAAAACTGGTTGTCCCGATAGAACCAGTTATAAGTAAATGTAACAGAAAAATAATTTTTTCATGCGAGTATTTTAATATAAGAATCAACTTCCAATAGGTTGCAGATTTGTTGCTAGGATGGAGATTTATTGGATTGCTGCCTCTAAGTTACTCGAACAGATTTCACGCGTTTTTGGAACAAAGTTATTAAAAGCCAACAATTCCATGCTCTGTTACGTAAAGCCATGGTTAGTAAATATTTTCGTCACGTCTTCTTGCGGTAGATAATAAATAGTTTCTCGTTCCAAAAAATAAGTATAGTAGGGTCATTCCTCGCCAAATCGATCATTTCTTGACATCTACGTCGGGGATTCTATTCCAAATGAAATATGATGCAGTATACGCGATGCTAAGGGAGTTGAAGTAATCATTTTGCTAATTTAAAATTTCTTTAATGAACAATAATTTATTAATAGATGCTTTTAGATATTACTAATTTTCAACATCATCAAGCGTATTTTTTAATCTTAAAAAATTTTATTGGCATAAATCAAAACTTATTTTTTAATAGGTGGAAATTAAAATTCAGAGATATTATTATAGTAAGTATAAATTAAGAAATCAACTTACTGTTACAAATATATTTCGAAATAAAAATTTATGTCTACCATGTTTTCATGATTTTATAAAAATGGACAATAAAAAATTCCTAATTTTCATATGCACTATATTATGTTTTATTAAGAACAAAATCCTCAAAATCCATTTTAAAAAGTGTTCAAATCAACATGGAGCGAAACAATATTAATCTTTACTTTTAAAAATAATTTTTTGCTTCGTGAAGTTCTTACTTTACGAATATGAAAATTTCCACTAATTAAACATTAAATGCATTTAATTGAACTAGGCCCCTATTTTCACAAAGCTTTCCACCAGAATATACAGAACGCAGATATTAATGAAGATCATTTTTTAAATCTTGGTTAAATGAATGTGCCACACTCTTCTCAACGATGAACGAAAATTACTGGAATGTGAAATGCTTACACAGCACAGAAAAAGAAATAAATTTGAAAGATATTTATAGTTGGCCGCGCGAATTCTGCGATTTGGTGGAAACGGTGTGATTACATTTTACTTTTTTGACGGCCGATATCGATGTTAAAAAAAGACAGCTTGCACTGTTGCCATATGCGTGTTCGCACTGTACAATATCAGAATTCAGTAATAAAATTCTGACAACCGTAACGATTATTATTTGGAAAGTAAAAAAATAGAGTTGAACAAAAATCAAGTTAGAAATTTATGCATTCATCGAAATAATATTAACCCTTTGCACTCGAAGCTTTTTCTCATTGACATTACCAGCAACTGGACGTAATTTTAATAGAGAAAGCATATTAATATATAAACAAATGATACAGGCATGAAAAGAAGAGTCATAGAAGTATTTTACTGTGTTATAATATTTATAATCGATAATACATCTAATGACAAAATTTTACAGTTTGTAATGACAAATTTTAAATAGCTCTGCTATGGAGCCCTCAAGTGCAAAGGGGTTAAATTTAGTTAATTTTAAGTAAGTTTTCGTTTATAGCTCTATTTACAATTATTTAATTTAATTTTTTTAATTAGTTTTAAAATATTAGTGAGACAAACGTGTGATCAATTGTTTTAGGTGCAGATAAACTGAGAAGGGGATAATAATATAATGTAGCTTTTTACCTGATCTTAGGGTAATCAGGTGTATTTTCGGGAAAACATAGCAATGGTTGAAATCCGTCGATAAACATATCCAGGCAGTACTCGTCATGTTTATGTAAAATATAACTATTATACACAACATATCCTTCCGATGTTATGTACGTTTCGTTTAAGGATGCCTTATATGCGTAATTTTTACAGCTACGACCGATTAGCAGACCGTTTCCTGAAAATTAGATTATATCGCATTGCTAATTTCATCAAGGAATTGATATAAAAAAAATTCTACGCACATACGTAGGTATATTTATATCAACAGCTCTTTTATCAGTTGGTAATAAATAAATTAAATAGAAAAGACTAGTATTTTAATGTAGATGATGTGTACAATTGGTAATCTTTTATACAAGGAAACAATGAATGCCTTATTGATTGAATTTACTATTAAATTAAAACCGTGCTCCTTTATAAATTACATTTACTATTCAAATAAAACTCAACTCTTTTATTGATTAAACTTACTATTAGAGTAAATCGAACTTTTCTATCAGTTATACGTATTATGAAATCAAAGCTTTTAATTAAACATCTCAAATAATTTTTTAAGTAACTAGATCATGGTAGGAAAGTAATATTCATAACATCAGTAGTAACCATTGCATAAAATTGAAAAATTGCCTTTATTCACAACAGATGTGCTTCATTGAATCGTAAAATAATGGTAAGAAAGTGCAATCTATTTTCAACAACAGCTGAATACCTAAAAAAAAAGTTGATTAAATTTTTTATCGTAACACCGACCTGTATTGTTCCAGGTTTGATTCGTGAAAGTGAAAACCTCGTTGTAAAAAGCCTGCGTCGTTATGGAGGAGTTTTTACTACACCGATTCTTACTGTCAAAAGCTTGATCTTCTGGACAACACTTCCTTACGCAGCTATGGTTTTGACAGAATTCCTTCTTCCTGCAAACTCGAACTACGAGTCGTCGATTTATCGTGGAATTCGGGGTCAATTCTAAGCACGTGTCTTCCATGGATGCTGGTATTTTCTCGTAAAAATCCTTTTCTGACGGCACTGTCACCTGTAAAAAAATTGTCTCACTGAAAATGTCATAAATTGAAAATGTATTGTTAGGTGTTTTAATAGATTGATATTAGAAATATATTATTTAGCAAATCCCAGGTAGTAATTCGAAGAATTGAGAAAGATGTAACATTGTAAACAAAATGACTACAATTTTATCGCAGATACTATTAATTTATCAATAGGATTCATATTTATTTATTTTACTGAAATATGTTCATCACACAGTCTAAATACGTAATAATTTTTCTCATGAAGAAAATTTTAATTGATTTCAATTTTATCAATTTAGATATAATATACTTACATAACATAAATATTTAATTAATTTTATCACGCAAGATAAACCGCATATACACTGCGACATACATATTTCTTAAGTAGAGAATATTTAGTATATTCAACTGTATAAGTATTATATACATTCATTCATTATTAACAACAATTATCGTAACCATTAATGTTTTTATTCTCTTCTTAATTATGTATTAAAAATTACACGAATTAAAATGCAGCTACATTAATGCACGCGTATACATATTTAATCCCCCAGTGCTAGCGTTGAATACAAATATACCCTAGCCTCTCTTCCGTTTGGTCATATCTTGTTTTAACTTTTTATGACATTTTGTATTTAACAATTAAGAAATAGAAATATTCCAATGGAAGCTTTTCTACTTCTGTTTCTTTAAAATACACTCTGTTTATTTATTCAATTCTGTTATATCGAATTTCGTACGAGATACGCAGCATGTACTTAGGCGAGTCTTACAATTTATATGTATAAGTTAATAAGAAAATATATAATGAAACATTATTTATATGAAGTCGTCCAAAGAAAAAAAATTCAACTAATCAAATAGCTAAATTTTAGTTTAGAATACAAAATCTTTATGTCCATTACATTCAAATACATTCATTACTTCCATATTGATGGCTCGAAATCACTAAAAAAAACATTAATTCAAGTATTAAATAAAATTTCAAAGCTACAAGTACGATTAGCTTAATCATACCTAGATGGTGTCAAATACTAACGTTTCAAACAAATCAATGCTTCATTTAACTGCAATTCAATTCTAAATAACAATACGTATGATACGAAACGAATGAAAATGATGTCACATTCACAGATTCTAAACATTTCATGTTACAATTATGAATAGAAAAAATATGTTAATGTTTTAAAGAAAATGGGAACAGATACGAGATTTTAATTACGAAATCTAAAAAGTATATAATAAACATGAACCATATCGTAGAATTAAAAGAACAAACATAAAAAATAAAGTGCTAATTTTATAAGTAAAATAATGCTTTTCCGTGTCAAATGGAATACACAAAGGAAGATTTAAAGCATTTCGTGTATGAAAAAATAATGCAAATAAGAATTTATATATTATAATGGAAGAATGATATGTTTAATTAGCCTCAAGTATTTGCTCAACAAACTTTGCTGTTTGCTTAATAAATCATATGCGAATTATTATCATTGAGAGAAGATGTAATAAGTATTAAACAAAATATTGAAAAGAAAAGCTGGTATAAATTTTATAAATACATGTTTCACTTAGCATACCAACAAGTAATAATAACATTTCAGGAAACAAAATTAAATTTTATTCGATGTCATTAAATTCGAATCACCTAAACTGATGTCGTGTATAAACAATACCGTGTAAACAGTGTTATAATTTAGGATACAAAGTTAGGACACCCTTCGAATCTCACGGAACGTATTCTTCTAATTTGTATAAAAAGTTACATAATATTCTGAATAATTTTTTTATAAAAATTAATTAATTCACTCTAATTGCTCGGTAGTTTTAGTGTTAAAGCATGGAAAATGATGTGCTACAAAAAGCTTTCGTTGCCAGCTAGATCCAAAATTGTCCAATTTCCACCACAGTCCTCTATCGTTCTTTCCTTATCATTTACCGTTTAAACTATCCTTTGTCCGCCATTGTGTACATTTAGCAACTGAAATAGACACCTAGTCATCTATCCATTTAAATATTTACCTTTGGTCTATCGTTTCACGGAACTAACTGTACCGAAGAACGAATAATGACCCTCGTCAGCAAGAAGAGTTCCACCAGGAACCCTCCGCAAATTTCAAGGACGAGAAGCAACGGAACAGGTGCCGTTTCATTTAAAAACGTCTGGGCGACCATGAGATTCTTTCCTTTCCCGTCACCTTTAGAAAAGGAAGAATCTTCCTTCGCGGAGTACAACGAGAGATTGCCCCGGCTGTTGACACATAACTCGTTTCCTCCGTCATTATTTCGTAAACGCGGAAGGTGAACGGTCGAATATCGAAGGCGGATATCGGCCATTGGAACCACGATAACAAGCACAACGCTGCACGACGGGGAAATAAGACTTGTCTAATGACAGCCGATGAGACGAGAAAGTCTGACGTGTTGCAAATATCAGCGGGATTATCAGGTTTGTCAAATACTATAGAACGGCAACGTAAATCGTGGCAGACAGATCTTTATCTTATCCGTTTTAAAAATCTCACGGACGAGGATATGCTTGACGACATTCTCCTTTCCGTTTAACCAGTTAACTGCGTTTGACGAGTATGCACGTCATTTTAAAACTTGAAATGATACTGACTATTTTTTCAGGTAAATGTGTAATTCTTCCTTGTTTCGCTTTGGTTTGTCATGAAAATATACCCTAGGTGCGTTCGTCCTGCGTTTGACGAGTACACACTTCGTTTGTTTATTTTATTGCGCGCAAAATGAGAGACTTTCCAGGCTAAATTCCACAGTTAACAAGTTAAATCATTGCTGTATGGTTTTTCTTTGCAAAAGTACTTGTCAGATTTAATTTCTTATTTAGTTTTTACCTTGTGATTGCTGTGATAGCTAAAAGCTAGTAGAAAAATAAATTTTATTTTCACTGTTAAATCTACACTTATTATAATAATGTAATATTAACGATATAATATTGATATAATATGAATATGACATTATTCACTTAATTACTTGATTGAAAAAATGAAATATGTACTTGTCAAGTGCAGGACGGATGCACCTAGAATATATTTTAATGAAAAACCAAAGCAAAGCAAAGAAGCTTTACATGTTTATCAGAAAAAATAAAGAATTCATCGTTGAAAGAATTAGTATCATTTCAAGCTTTAAAATTTCGTGTATACTCGTCAAACGCAGTTAACTAGTTATATGAAACTATTTATTTTCAAAATCATTTTAGATATTAAATAATTTTAAAATAACAATAATTGCAAAATAAGAAAACTAACGGCAGTTCTAGTGTTAATATAATCGTCATTCTACTGTAATACATAAAACACATCTTTTACTTCGACCTATGTGCAATGAATAACATTAATTTTCTTTAAATTGAGCTAGAAATCTTTACCGTGAATTTTATTCGTTATTGTTCGGTAAATGGTTAATGGAACGTCCGTTATCAGCATATCTAAGGTTTTGTGGTTGGTTAATAGTCCTCTATGTAACCGTTCATTAAGGTTTATTGTTCTCCTGGTTTCTCATATTGCACTTTAAGCAAGACGCTTGCAAACGTTGTTCACTTTTTACCTACGTTATGGAAACTGTTTGAACAAGATTTGCATATACAGTAGGAACTCGATTATCCAGGTCGCAATTATCTGCGGTCTCGCTTATCCGAGGTCTCGGATTTTACCTCGGAATATTACGATCGTGTTTTACCATTCCTTTTAGTTTGTAAACAAGACATGTTTATTTAAAATAACTTGGAAAATCTGAATCTTCCGTAAATGAAACGACTTTTTATAAAGATGTGTTTGTTTTCAAAAAAAGTAAGTGCAACAAGATTGTGAGTACAATAGTTCTTTGTAAACAGTGTACAGAGTTGAAGGTGGAATTAGATTAGTGTTTCAGAACTATCATTTTTAACAATTTTGTACATTATATACATTTAAATTTACAGTTTTATTTGATATCATTGAAACAAAATCTTAATTATTGAGATAATAAACAGTATAATATTCCGTAACAATGTAAGAATTGAAAGATGATTCATCAATGACTAAGGAGGATAACACTAATCATCATGAAAAATACATATGCAGTTATATATTTATTGGAAACAGTGCATCATTAAGTGCATTATCAAGAAGATAAAGAGTAATTCAAAACTTTCATCAATACCCGACAATAATCGAACCTAAATACTTTCCACAATCATTATTCAGTTTTGTGCATTTTGAAATCAACAACAATGTTTGAATCTTAAATAAATTCAAATAAATATATCTTTTAATTTTTTCTTCCTGTATTAATAACTTCTTATATAAACTACGTAAATAAGTTCTATTATAATTATTTAATTCATCTAATCTATTAAGTACAATAACTGTTAAAAGTTATATAAATTTTATGTATATTCAAATAATTATAATACTTTATCGTTTCTTTCATTACTAGTGACATTTTATATACAACACGTAAATAAATTCTACTATAATCGTTTAGTTTATTCAATTTATTAAGTATAACGTCTAGTAAAAACTATACAAACACTTATTTAACCGCTTTACCTACAATATCGTGTCAGACTCGTAACGAAAATTTGTAACTGAATTTAACAAATGTAAGTGTTATTCAGTTTTTTTTAAATATCAAGTAAGTATTGATATTTTTTGTTATGAATCGTTAATCTTTTGAGTAAACGTATACATAGAGTAAGCATAAAAATTTTATCTTTTCCTAATAAATTATTATCGATAAAGTGGTTGTATCGATTATAGGTAAGAAATAAATCATAAGGGAAGAGGTTAATTGAACCTTTCCTTACTATACTTACGAATTTTTTGCATTTATGAAAAGTCTGGGAGTGCAAAACCATACGGAATGCAGATAATACTTATAATATTTGTTAAGAATTAATACTTATAATATTTTTATAAAAACAATCATTTTCTGTCGTAATTTTATTTTTCTATTAATGTTCTTCAATATTTAAATTTCCATAAAAATCCCG